CCAGAGAGGTGAAGGGGCGCTCCTAAGGCTTGCAGCTCATTACCTGGTCCTCGCTTTTGAGAGAGGATAACTGCGTGTTTCTTCCACCTGGCTGCTATGCTTCTTCTTGATGGGCTTTCGTGAGGCTCCATTTCTGATTCTCTGCGACGCTCTTTTGGAAAAAAATGAGAAGGAAATAAATCAGTCCTTCCCGCTCCTTCTCAGGAATACTCGGTCTCCGAGCCTCATGTAGGATCTGTACATTCGGCAGATTGTTCAAAAGACTGATGCCTTGAAAACATTATGCGTGGTGAAATAAGCCAGACACAAAAAGACAGACTGTATGATTCCAAGTACACAAAGTACCTAGAATAGGCGAATTCATAGAGACGGAAGGTAGAATAGCTACTGGGGGCTGAGAGAGGGAGGAAGGGAGCGTTATTGCTTACAGGGTACAGAGTTCGAGTCTGGGATGGTGAAAAGTTCTGGAGATGGATAGTGGCGATGGTTGCACAGCATCATGAATGTACTTCATACCGCTGACCTGTACACTTAAGAATGGTTAAAGTGGTAAGTTTTATGTTACGTATATTTTACCCAATAAAAAATTAATTTCAAAAATGAAAAAGACTTTGATGCTGAAAAAGGATTTTTCCCGCCCTCTACCGCATCCCTCCCAGATTTCTGACTTCCTTGTTCTGCCCTTCACTCCTCAGTTTAATTGACTTTTTTTTTGGCGGGGGGGGGGTGTTTGCCACTGAGTTGCTAATTCATTGTAAATGATAATTCATCTGATTATACGTTCAGGAATAACATTTATTGATAGTTAAGTGTTTCATTGCTTCTTTGCTTTCTCCAAAGGGAATGAACAAATATTTTAGACATAATCAAGTTTGTTTTCTCTATTTGGGCTCAACAGACAGGGCTGTTGAAACGATATAGATCTTTAAAATACTGCAAATGAGTCTTGACATCGCTGAATTGTGATGCATCCATGGTACATAGGCTTCAAATCCAGGCTCTCTCCTTTGATCAGAAAAATCATTTTTGTGATACTCGAATTTTGAGTTCTGTGGGATTGGGGAAGGGACCAGCAGGGAGTCGGGATCTGAAGTGACCGCCGCGAGTCCTGCCCCCTCCCTTCCCAGCGCAACAGTCTGCATTTTAATTCCTGTCTGCCAGCTCTGCCACATCTCTTCCCATCTCTGAGCAGTGGCAGGGAATGGGAAATTGGGGCAACAGTGAGTCCTGAGTGGTGTTGGGCCTGGAGTTTAGATAGTTATTGCACGGTGGACCAGGGAGGAGTGGGCTACAGCAGGAAAGCAGCTTCCTTGGCGGGGGAACTCAACCCGTGGCCTCCAGGTAACTAGACTTACCTGGGTGCTATTGCAGGTCAAGTACGTGCTCAGCAGCTAGGTGACATTCAACCACCGTCCTCCGGCTCCTGGAGGGGTGCCCTTGACTGGAACTGACTCATGCTCTTTCCTGGTGGCACGGATGGGTCTGCCTCATTCGTCCACACTCTTCCTGCCTTCCATCCAAAGCGCGTTTTTGGTCTGGCTGGAGCGATCTGGTGGGACCTGCCCACCTGTGTGGAGGCTGCCGTAACCTGCAACCTTGCTGTCTTAGTTTGCAGTGGCTGCCATAACAAATTACCACCAACTGAGTGGCTTAATGCAACAGAAATTTATTCTCTCACAGTTCTGGAGACCAGAAGTCTGAAATCAAGCTGTCAGCAGGGCCAGGCTACCTCTGCAGGTTCTAGGGGACAGCCGTTCCTCTTCCAGCTCCTGGGGGCTCCCGGCATTCCTTGGCTTGTGGCTGCATCGCTCCAACCTCTGCCTCTGTCTTCACGTGGATGTCTTCCCTCTATGTCTCACTTCTACCTCTCCTCTCTCTTTTAAGAACACCTGCCATTGGGTGGCAGGCCCACCCTAAATCCACAATGAATCTCTTCTTGAGATTCTGAACTTAACTACGTTTGCAAAAACCTTTTTTCCCGATAACGTCACATTCATAGGTTCTAGGGGTTAGGACATGGACGTACCTTTTTGGGGGCCACTGTTCAGCCCATTGCATTCACCCTAATTAGCAGTGGGGTTCTCTCCCTACCTAAGAACTGGCCCATCCTGGCTCGTTTAGGGGTTTGCATGTTGCCTCAGTCTGAGTTCAGGCCAGAGGGGCAACTTCAGACACAAAGGAGACCCAGATTTACCCAGAGGCTAGACGTGAGGGTCGAGAGGGAGGGGTGAGGTCTGCACAGGAGAGATGCTCCTCTTGAGGGGGAACCTCTGACCTGTGCCTTTTAGAGAGCGAATTGCTTGAGAAGAGGGATGTTGCCTTGTTGATCTCGGGGTCCTCCACGATGCCTGGCACAGGTGGTAGCCGGTTTATGCCCAGAGAAGGGCTGAATCAGTCTTGAGGGGGAGGCAGTAACACCAATTAGCAAGATGCTCGGGCCCTAGAGAAGCAGAAATGACTCGTTCTGTCATTCTCAGCCACCAGCTGCTGTGTGTTAGGGGCTCTGTGCCTCCTGGGGACCCAGAGAGAATGAGGCCCCAGCCCAGCCGTTGTCCTTGAAGCCAGTGCTAGCAGATTCCTGCATCCTGTGCTCTGCCACCTCACCTTCCCTTTTGAGGGAGGACCTTTTGAAGGCATTGCATCTCAATCCCTCCTACTAGGATCTGGGCTCTAGAAGGGTGGCCAGAAAGGGGATTAACCAAAACAATGCCAGTCCCCTTCCGTGTGCTGCAAGGGTTCCAGCCTGGGTGAGAGTTTAACCGATGGTTTTCAGGCCCCTTTGAAGGGGGGCTTCAGGAGCCAACACAGCAAAGCCCAAAGAGAAATCATTCGGAGACTTGCCTCTGGGTGTGGTCTCGTCCCATTCTGCACATAACACACGGGACCAAGGGCCAAACAGAAGGTCGGCGTTGTAGCTCTCTCTGCAGGGACCTGGTTTAGAGGGTGTGTACAAACCTAGTGAAAGGTTTCCTGTTGGGCCTCATTTTAAACAGAATATCATTGTGTCCAAAGACCCAGCATGTCCAGGACCAAACTGGGAGAAACTTGCCAACTTTGACCCTGTGCAGTGAACGCTTGTGTGTGCCCCTCACGACAGGTCTGACCTCCAGCCTTACGTGTCTGTAGTGGGCTGGGCATGGGCTGTGTAGGCTGGGAATACCAACCTGGTATTTGGTGTGTGGTAATAAATTACATATCATCATAAGGATCGTGATTGCCGATTCTGTGGTCATCCTAGCCCTCTGTTTTACTGGAAATTGAGAGCAGGGAGTGGCCTTTTCCATTCCTTTCCCGAGGAATCTTCTAGATCCTGCAGGAGCTGTAATATAGGTTTGCAGTGCCCTCAGCTCCCTGTTCCCTGCTGTTCCTTAGAAGGTGGGGGTGGTAGAATTGGAGGTTGGAGAAAAGAGGGTCTTGAGAGATTCTCTCCCCACCTGGGATTTCTGGGGCCCAGAATAGACACAAAAGCTTAAAAAGGGAGCATCTGTATTTGTATTCATTGACAGGAAGCACTAATTATCATATACAAAACGAGCCGTTCTGATTTTTGTGTTCCTGGTTGGTGTGCCCAGACTTGCGTTCGGTCAGGCTCATATCTTTGCGGAAGACAGTATCTTGGTCAGTGGAGCTGCTATTACAAAGTACCATAGACTGGGAGGCTTACAAACAACAGAAATTTATTTCTCACAGTTCTGGAGGCTTGAAGTCCAAGATCAAGGTGCCAGCATGGTCAGGTTTTTGGTGAAGGCCCTCTTCCTGGTTTACAAACAGCTATCTTACTGTATCCTCCTATGGCAGAGGGCGGAGAAAGCAGGCCCTCTCATGTCTTGTATAAGGGCACTAATCCCACTCATGAGGCCTCCACCCTCATGACCTAAATGTCCCCCCAAAGGCCCACCTCCTAACACCCTCACGTTAGCGTAGGATTTCAATATATGAATTTGAGGGAACACAAACATTCAGTCCATAGCAGAGATTTGGGTTGTGACCTGAGGGGGGACCCAGAGTCCAGTCTCAAACCTTGAGGCTCGGGGGAAGGGGCTTCCCAGGATGACACATAAGTTCGATGCAAAGTCAGAGCTGGAGCCCAGGTCTGCTGCCTCCCCCTCAGGGCGTCTGTGCTCCTGCATGTGTTCACTGCAGCTGCGTTTCATCCTGTTTCATCCGAGGCAGGGTGCCATCCTGTGAGTGGGTCTGTGTGTCAAAGCGGTGCTTACGGAGTGGGGTCACAGATGGGGCAGCGTGCTGGAACCCAGTCGGGGGCGGGAGGAGAAGAAAGCGAGGGGCAGGAGGGTAGCGAGAGGCACTCAGGATGCTGAGCAGCGGGCGCCTGCCAAAATTCTTCAGTGCAGCTTGCCTAGCAAAGCCTGTCTCCAGCCGAGTAAATACAGTGCATAGCTGACAGGCTGACAGCAGGCATCAAACAGTCTTAAACTGCCCCAAATCCGCAGCGCTTTTGAAGCAGCAGTAGAAAAAGGATGCCTACGCAGAACAGAGGCCTGAAACTTTTAATAGTTTCTTCCAGGCCTCAGGATGTCCTGATGAGGTATTAGAGGAAGTAATTCAGGAAGAAAAGGACAAATAACCGCCTCCGTCTGGAGGCCGACCCAAGGGCTGGCCATTCAATCACGGAAGGGGCAAGTGTGGCCCCGCGGTGATCCGCCATGGTCGTCCCCCACCCGCCTGCCTCCTGCCATGAGCCGCAGGCTCTGACCCTTGTAAATAACAGACAAGTAAATTTCTTGTTTGCTTCCGGGCAAATGTAAACCACATGTGCCCGCCGCCTGGGGGACGAAATCATTAACTTTTCCTCACTGTTGGAAGGGTGCTCTGTACAAATTAGAAATCGTTTCCTCAAGCTGGAGGCCCTTCCCAGGGATCCATCTGCCCTCATCCCAGGAACCTGTCACCACCACAGGACATCAAAGAAAGACGTGCGGGCCAAAGGGAACTGAACTCACCTCTCCTCTCTGTCTTTTTCCCCCTCCTTTTTCCTTTAGGGTTTGGCTTTGTCACTTTTGAGAATGAAGACGTTGTGGAGAAAGTCTGTGAGATTCATTTCCATGAAATCAATAATAAAATGGTAAGTTGGTAGGGGTTGTGCTGAAATGTGATGCCTCCCTTCCCCCACATACACCCTTTGTCCTGCAGACTGCTGCAGCTTGGTCATGCTAGAAGGTGGGCAGGGTGGGCCTAGGGACCAGACTAACAGTTCAGCTCTGTGAATGGCAGGAGTTGACAAGCTTTTTCTGTAAAGGGCCAAATAGGATATATTTTCAGCTTTGCCGGCCATACAACTGACTGTCCAGCTACAGAACATGCACACACAATATATACATGAATAAGCAGGGCTGTGTTTCAATAAAGCTTTGTTTAGGGACACTGAAACTGAAATCTCATGTAATTTTCACATGTCACAAATTTTTGATTGATTGCCATTTAAAAATGTAAAAAATCATTCCTAACTCTTGGGCTCTACAAAAGGGGGAGCGGGGGGCAGTTTGACCTGCAGGTTGTAATTTGCTGACCCCTGGCTTAGGGTATGCATTTGCTGTTTAGATTGGCTTTTGAGGGCGTCTATCTTATATATGAAGTTTTATCTTCATGTATAAGAGTCTCTCTCTCTTTGGGCCCTGCTGGGTAATTAACGTTCTTCCCTTCCGATCAGCTAGATAGTTTTACCCTCATGATTAGCCGCTTTGGCCTCCTTTTGGCCCTTTAAAGTCCTTTTCCCGGCAGGGCACCCTCAACAGGGAGGGGGGGTTGGATCATTGAAGTTTGGTGGTGGGGGGGTGGGCAGCAGGCCTACCAGAGGAATGGCCACCAGAGGGCGCCATACCATGTGCAGCTCATGCAGGCCGACTTGAGGTCTCAAACTCCCTTCTTCAAATTTAGTAGGTGGGTGAGAAACCCTTTCCTTGTTGGTTCCAGAAAAAATGGGAGCTCAGCAGGTGTTTCTGGAGCCATAAGCAGATCCTTGAGAGCCAAAACATTTTGGTTGGCCAGCAGCACCTCCAGCCCCAAGAGAAGAGGGAGGGCAAATTTGTGTTCACTTGCAGCTGTAACTTTGATATTTTCTTCCTTTAGTCAAAACATTCCTTTGCTTCTGAAACATGCATTCAGATACACGTTGTATATTGGTCTGATATGTGTTCACTGACTTTAAATTAAATAATAGAGCTTTTAGCATGGATAAGATCAAAGCAATCTGCCTAGTATGTGGTGCTACAGGCCTGATTCGATATTTGACTTGCTAATTTTTTCCCAGGGCACTACAATGATAATATTGTTCGTATTGTTCCTAGCCATTATCTTCATCTGAAACGAAAATACTATTTCTTTGCGTTCTGTGGTATGGAGGCGTCAGCTCAGGCATTGAAATGGTACAGGGGAGATAAGTGTGTAGGAATAACCCAGGTCTAGAGAGACAGGAGGCTTAAAGGGAAACCTGCTTCCAGTGCCCGGAGACCTTGTCTCTCCTAGCCAGGCCAGCTATTGACGGACTCCACTGAGGGCTGCCGGGGCAGCCCAGGGCGCTGGCAGCCTCCATGCCTGTCCTGGCAGGACTTAACGTCATGGTTCATCGGGAAAGCCCGGTGTAGACTGGCGAGAGGCCTCGCTGTGCTGCCACAGATGCATATGTGCGGCCCTTCACCGTTGACTGGCTTGGCAACTAGCCTGAGACACAAAGTGGGAAAGGGCTTTCTTCTCCCCACTGTTCCCGTGGGGAAACAGAGGCCCAGGAGATATGCCCCAGGGCCACCCAGATAGTGAAGGAGCACAGGCCTTGAGGTACTGGCTGCCTGGTGAACTGTACAGACGATTGTTTGAGCTTGGAAGTGGGGAGGCGAATCCCCAGATGACGTGGGGGACAATCAGAAGGTAAGAGTTCCAGCCCCAGAAAGGTAACCGGTGGGCTGGCCTGAAGCCAGAGAGGTTTGCAGCCATTGTCCCCAATCTTTCACACTTGTCACCTTCTTTTCCACTCAGGTGGAGGCCGACTATGGCAGGTGCAGGTAGTTGTGTGCAAAGTGTGAGGTTTCTCTTTTCTTTCGAATCTGGGGCTGGTCGTTGTTCTTTAAGAGAAGAAGCCGAAATGGAAGTAGGCAAGAGGAATGGGTTGGGGGTGCAGTGGTCGGGAACACAGAAGCCTATGGAGGCGTCACTGCAGGTGCCTAGCCCACCCCCACCAGGTACAGGCCCTAAAGGGGAACTTAGAAGTACTGGGAGAGAGAAGCAGCGGGTCACTGCTGGTCACAGGGCCTGTGATGACCACCTCGTGGGGTGGCTGGGGCCTGGAGGAGATACCACAAGCAAAAGCACAGGGTCAGGCTTGATATACGTTAGCTCTTGCCATGGTCCACATCGCCATCGATGAAAGGACTTCTCCGGCAAGCTCTCCTCCTCCGAAGGGTGGAATGTGAAGCGCATCGGTAGGGAAGCCCGAACCCTGAATTGCTTTGGATTCTGTGATACTGGTTTCTACTTCTGAGGCCCAAAGAAAAGGAAATGAATTTAAACTGTGCTATGGACAGAATTCAAATGAGAGATCGGAAAGACTGAGAACTCAGAGACTGCCAAGCAGAAACAGGGGCGGTTGTGAGAATGCACGTAGGAGTGTTGTGTAAACTGGACTGTGGTTCGAAACTGTAAAGACAGCTCTCCCGGAAGCCCCACAGTCTCTCTGTGAATTGGGCAGGAACAGAGAGCTGCGGGGACACCCCCCCCCCCCACTCCATTCCCACAGAGTCCTTGGAGCTACCATTTTCTCATATTCACAGAGAGGAGAGGTCTCACTGATGACGAGTCACAAAGATAAGACTTGAATCCAGCTCTTCTGGTTCTTAACCCAGTCCTCGTGTCCCTGGCATTCAGTAGGCCCTGTATAAATAATTGTGTGACGAATAAAGGATTGGGGGAGGGACCACGTGACAGTGAGGCACATTATCCTTCCCAAAGCCATTGCTCATCTAATTGGGTTGGTGAATCTCCTGGACATTTGTTAAAATGAGAGCCCTTCCCTGACGTCCAGGACAGCCAGCAGCAGGCACGAATGCTTCTGGCTGCAGAGGAGCGGGGAAGCCGGGACCGCAGGAACTGACACACCCCCACTGCCAGCGTAGAAGCCTGGCCTTAAGGAGGCCGCCTCCGTGGCGGTGGTGGCAGGGGGATGGGCAGAGAGCCCCACCTGGTGCTCCCACACGAGATCCTACGAATAGCCAGTATTTTTGAGCGCTAACTCCGTGCTTTGCTGAGTGTTTGCTTTATGTACGTCATTTGACTATCGCCCACATCTGATGTAGGTACTAACTATCATCCCCATTTAACTGATCAGCAAGGTGAGGCAGAGACAGGAGTTAAGCAGCTTGCTCAGAGCCACACGGCCAGCGAGTGGCAGCAGCAGGTTTCAAGCCCAGAAAGCTAAGGTCCAGAGCTCACATTGGTACCCAGTAGGCTGTTCCCCGTTCTCCAGGCTGAAAGAGACCTGAAGGGTCATCTCACTGGGCTACAGCCTTCCAAGGCCACTGACCACCCCTCCCAGGCAGCCGTGCCGTGGCTTGGGTGGTTCCAAGTTCTCCTAAGAGAAGGGCAAAGGACACAGGCTCGCTTGGGGCCGGATTCCCGGCTGGGAAGAAGGGCCGAGCTTCTAAGGGGTCCCTGTCGGCCACAGGCATCTCCCCCACCCCCCAGAGGCAGGTGAGCAAGGGGCACGGGGGCAGCAGGCTGCCACCGGAGCTCAGGGCCTGACCGATGAGACTCAGCCCCGTCCTCCGACCTGGCACAGTCAGAGCACAGTGCAAACATGGCTCCTTTACAGTAAACACACGGATGCGCACGCAGGGCCGCCTGGTGACCGTCCGGAGGGGGCTCCTCCCCGGACACTCAGCGAGCCGGCGCTGGTGCGGTAGTGACACATCCCTCCCGCCGCGGGCCCTGATTGAAGCAGCGGGGACACTTGCCTGATTGGTCACCAGCACAGCCTCCCAGTGCCTCCTGGCACTGCAGGGAGGCAGGTGGGAATTGACAGAGACCTGCCAGGCCCCTCAGAGGCCTGGCCCAGCCCCCACCTCCAAGGAGTCGGAGGCGACGCCCGCCTCACCGGGTGAGATCTCGGGGTACATTTAGAAAGGGGCCAGGCAGGGGCACTTGTGATCCACAGCAGGACATCGGCGGTCACCAGGCACTGTGCCAGCAGCTTACATGCACGAGGTCATTGTCCCATTGTAGAGAGGGGGACAGTAGCGCTCAGAACCGTGAAGGGACTTCCACAGCCCATGGCTCTAAGGGCAGAGCAGGGATTTGAACCTGTGTCATTCTGGCTCCAGCCCTGGGTCCTTCCCACTCTACCCTGCTGCCACCTTAGACAAACCTCATCATTTGGCAAGCTCGTTAGGAATGCAGAATGTCAGGCCCCACCCCTGATGTACTGAATCAGAATCTGTATTTTGACAAATCCGCAGTGATTTGTACGCACATTGAAGTCTGAATGCACTGGCGAGGATCACTGCTAATGAGATGACGTGGGGGGTTGGGTCACAAATCATCCATCCAGTGTCAGAAGGAAAGAACTCTTCTGAGGGGCCTAAGGCCGGAAGAGCATGGAGCCAGCTGAGCTGGCCTGGCCCGGGATCACCAGGCCAGTCTGGGACTCTTGGCACCACTGCACACTCCCTGTGTGTTCAGAGACCAGATCTCCTCCCAAGGAAGCTCTCAGTGTCGGGGCCTCCCCTCTGATTTGGGTCTCGGAGTGTTGACTGAAGGTGTGTGAGGCTCATCCAGTGGGTGATGGGCTGGATCCTTGAGTGATGGCGCGTGCCCTTGTCCCCAAGTTGGGACCTGCCGGGTCATTTAGAAACACCCAGGACTTGCCCAAGCCCGAATCCCAGACCCACCACTGGTTATCTTGGGACCCAGCAAGTACCCCACCTGTCTGTACCTGTTTCCTCCTCCGAAAGATGGGACGGATGATGGCCACTGCCTTTGGCAGCTTATAGGAAGTGCTGGTTCAGTTTCTGGCCCTGGGAGGTCTTGGCCTGCTCTGTTGTCGGGTGTATAATCTGGTAGCCTTGAAAGAATAGGCCT